AAAAAAATTCACCCGAAAATTGTCATCCGCCCATAGTAAAACAATGGAAACCAAAAGTGAAAAGTGAACCGGTTCGGGGAAAATGAAACTCATGATGAGGCTGAATAATTTTACATTCTCTAACCATACAGCTTCCCGACTTTTTTAATGCCTCGCAAAATGTTATTTTAAGTGTATTTTTATATATCAAAAGCATGTTGGCAAAAACGTAATTACATAACGTATGTGACGTGAAGCGATAGATTTACGTTCCTTGCGTGTACTTAAAAAGCCCAACTATTGTACTATGCACCTTGCCGATCTCTATGACAATAGCTTTGTTTCTTAACAGATAATTATAACAAATGATCACTAATTTCTACTCGAAAGCATTTCTTAACCCACAAAACTAGTAGAAACTAGCAGCTCTCTCTTGAACTTACACTCTTAATTTTTTGACTCTCCTGCTAATTTCTGCTAGTAAAATTTTTACTAACAGAAACTCGAAGCTGCCAAAATGGACAAACAAAAATTCGCGCCAAATGTTTTAAATAGTCAAATACATCGATCAGCTGTTTACTTGTTAGTTTCTGCTAGTGTTGCGTTTCTTTACTTTCTTTATTTCGCTCTCTGATCGTAATTTTCTCAATTCTCATTCTTCTACTTCCTGATAATTATCTGCTAGAAAAGAAAAGAAACAAATCCAATTGAGGGATTCACAACGGTGTCGTAAGTGTCGTATTGTTGTATGTCGTAAACTTTAAAAGCTTAACTAAATGTCTAGATAACCTGAAACCACAACCAACTACTTTTTAACACTGCGAAAACTCATAATATGACTTTTATGGTACCTTGCGAACCCCCGTAATATATTTTTAGGAGTTTATAGTTAACGTCATACAACAATACGACAGTTATGACACCGTTGTGAATACCTCAAATATTTAGCTCTCTGTGGCAATATTCGCAAATTTATTCAAACTTGTGGCATCCTTAGTATAAGATTTGACATTTCTTTCCCAGTTATCTTTTACAATTTTCGCCATTTTTGTAGTGCATCGTGTAAATTTTTATTTTAGGTCGGTGTTATGCAGACAAACTTTTGTTTGCCAAATTAAATGNGATGGTACCTTGCGAACCCCCGTAATATATTTTTAGGAGTTTATAGTTAACGTCATACAACAATACGACAGTTACGACACCGTTGTGAATACCCAAATATTTAGCTCTCTATGGCAATATTCGCAAATTTATTCAAACTTGTGGCATCCTTCTTTTCTTTCCCAGTTATCTTTTACAATTTTCGCCATTTTTGTAGTGCATCGTGGAAATTTTTATTTTACATAAATTTCTCGGTATATCAACGATATATTCATTACCCTGGCGAAAAAACTAAAATATCTACTACAACATGTCTATGTCAAAGACGACCAACACCTATAATAGGCAGAATTGGGAAGACGCCGAGTTTCCGATATTATGTCAAACCTGTCTCGGCGATAATCCGTACGTGCGTATGATCAAGGAAAGATTTGGTAAGGAATGTAAAATTTGCACACGCCCTTTCACTATATTCCGATGGTGTCCCGGAGCTAGAATGCGATTCAAGAAAACTGAAATTTGTCAGACTTGTGCTCGTCTGAAAAATGTGTGCCAGACATGTTTACTAGACTTGGAATATGGTTTGCCTATTCAGGTGCGCGACGCAGCACTTAAAGTGGCCGACACCATACCGCAAAGTGATGTAAATAAGGAGTACTATATTCAGAACATAGACCGGGAATTGAGAGATGGCGATGGCACTGAAGCAGCGGGCACAGTTGGACGCTCACTAGCCGCAAATGAGATGCTAGCAAAATTAGCACGAACTGCGCCATATTATAAACGTAATAGACCACACATATGCTCGTTTTGGGTGAAGGGCGAATGCAAACGAGGGGAAGAGTGTCCATATCGTCATGACAAACCCAACGAACCAGATGATCCACTATGTGAGCAGAATATAAAAGATCGATATTATGGACGTAACGATCCCGTTGCCGAAAAAATTATGAAACGCGCAGCTACTTTACCCACACTGGAACCACCGGAAGATCGCAATATTACAACATTATACGTGGGTAATTTACCCGAAGAAATAACAGAACCAGAGCTGCGCGACCATTTTTATCAATACGGCGAAATCAGATCTATTGCGTTGGTGCCTAGACAACAGTGTGCATTCGTGCAATACACAAAACGCGGAGCAGCAGAGTTGGCAGCCGAACGTACTTTCAACAAATTAGTGTTACATGGCCGCAAGGCAACAATAAAGTGGGCTCATTCACAAGCCAAACAAAGTGGGGTGGCAAAGACAGATAGACGTTTTGATGTTCCCGCAGTGCCGCCTACGCCTGTTGCCAATCCAAATGACTTTTTCAATCTTCAACAAGAACAAGTTACTGTACTACCTCCTGGTATGAAACTTCATCAAATACCGCCCAGCCTCATACCTGCGTCATCGTACCAAATGTACTCGCAAGCCTATGCAGCACCATACGCTAATATTCCAATGCCTTCTACCTCTGCGGCAGTTTTGGACGCCATTCCACCTCCACCGAGCGGTGGTGCACCTGGCCAAGTCCACTATCCTAGTCAGGATCCAAGCAGATTGGGTGCAGTGAAGAAGTGACAGCCAATGCATTAACCCGATTTCTGATGTATACAGTTTCGTTTCAAAATAAATTCCGAATAAACATTATAACAAATAATTTAATTATGTAAAAATGCTTACTAACATATATTTTTAGTGGGGCGTTTTCGGGACATCGTACATAAAAAGCACAACTACATAAATACATTACAAGTCTAGTTCAATTTTTTCTGAGTGTTCAGGGTAGAAACGAGCTTTCGACTCTGGAACTTGTATAAAATATTTATCAATATAGTTGGGATTCTTTTTTAGCAAAATTTCATTAAGAATTTTTTCATAAGTAATTGTCTTTTTTGAAATGACTAAACGGCGCTCTTCATCCTTTCCATAGCTGGTTGATTTCAAATTAAATTTACCTGCGATCCTAAAATAAAGATTTAATTTATTTCTTGAAGGTTTATATTTAGAGCGATTCCTTACTCGTGTAACATTGCTCGTTCTTCTTTGGTAAAAGTTGACTCAAATTGTAGCTCCCGTATGTCTTCTGAGTCAACATAGTTTTTCAATATCTGCCTAAAATAGTTACGATCCAATTTACAAGATTGGTTACCAAGACCAGCGCGGTTGTTTTTCAGTAAGTATCCAACGGGCTCCTCTCGGCCTTGTGTTTTTGATCCCAAGCCACCACCAGTCCATCCCATTAGTTTCATCATTTTATAGCCTTTATTTGAAGAATCTAGCTTTTTGTCCTCCGCATTATCAGCTTGTTGTTTAACTACTCCGCAAACAACTTGATTATTGGTTTTATTTATCTTTATAGCATCTTGCAATGGATTTGGCTGAAAGAAATTATTCAATTTCCATATTCAATAGATACTGGCTTACTAGATCACCCTACTTTAATGGAATAGCATTTCTTTTGAAGAACATCTAGAGCATTGCTGAAAGCCTGTAACTTGGTGGCTTTCAAATTTTCCTCAGAAGCTTTTGTCACTAGCTTGCCATTTAAGAAAACCTTAATTTCCCTAAAATATCAAATTCAGTTTAGGTTTTTTTACTTTTATACTTTCAACCATGATAAAAATATTTATCATGGTTTTAACATACTTTCTCGTATTTGGCCCGTCAATTTCTTTTTCTTCATATTCCATATTACATTTTTGCGCGGAGGTGCGTAAGCAATTTCGTCCCCCATTAAGGAACAGTATAAATTTACCGTATGTTAGGCCTTCAAAAAGATCATTACCAGTTTTATTCTGGTTACGAGAATTATTTGAAATGCTGTTTTGCTGTTGTTGTCCCGAATGTCCACCCGACCTAGCTGCAATTGTTCATAAAGAAAACATAAAAAGGAAAATAGTTTTTAATTGAAATATATTCTAGACAAAAAGTACTCACATATATTCTTAAGACTAAAGCGATTAATTTACATCTTGCTTTCTATCGTCTACCTTTAACGCGTGCCTCAGCCGCTACTGAAGCTGCTACAAATGTGCGCTTAAGTCGCGTTTCCCGACTTTTTCTATAATCTTTCACAACTTCTTTCGAAAGCTCTGCAACCAGTCGCATAGTTTCTGCTGGATATTTGCAACCCATGAATTCCATGTTGGTAAAAACCGCAGCGAGACAAACAAGCCGTTCCTCGGGAAATTTATCCTTATGTAGCTCCATGAAGTGTCGTCTCATTTGCCAATGCTCCTCACTTTCATGATCAGCACGATATTGGTCAATATCCCAGTCAGTAGGGAATTCTTCATTTTTCCTGACTTTTTTCGACGTGCTAGCCATAAAAAATTATTTTGTCAAAATATTTTGTACAGTGAAACAAAAAACACAGCGCGTGAAAGGCGAGTGTAAAATAGGATTGTCGGAAAAACATCGATGCATCGAAAATATCGATGTTTTGCTTCGACGCATCGAAAATTTTCCACTCGATGTATAAATAGTCGACGTATCGATGCATCGATGTATCGATGTTTTTTGAAAACTGAAATCTACGGCAGGGGCCGAATCACGGCTCTCGTGATCGAGTAATATTTTTCGAAATTTTCTGTTTTGGCGTCACCGCATTCGTGATCGAGTAAAATTTATCGAAATTTGGCATCACCCCATTCGATATCGAGCAGACGTTCGAGTAGAATTATTCAAAACANTAAAAAATTTAAGGCAGTGTCTACACACACGCGCCACGGTAAATTTTACCGTAGATCCACGGTAAAAATTACCGTAGATCTACTGTAAAATTACGTGGATTATGTGTTGCCGGAGAAGNAATAAAGCTTCTAAGCAAAAGACCGGAGGTGGGCCTTACCAAGAAAAGCTTTTGACGGCGTCCGAGGAGCTGCTGCTGCAAGCTACTGCAATGGACGTTTCAGTGGAGTACGTGCTGAAAACTTTCACTTCCCAAAAGCGATAACGTAGCAGCTAATTGCAAGACGGAGGGTACTGATGTGGACATATGCCCCTCAAACTCAAGCTCCGAAAGCACGTACTCGAATGCAGGTTTTGACAGTCGGAAACGTTTTTTGAACCTGCAAATAAAGAACTTTAACGTATGCTGCTGCTGGTAAACTTAAGGGATTGCTTTTGTCACGTAATCCTCTCCGTATCTGCACTTGACTGACTACATTATCAGAATCAGGCGAGCTCGAATAAAAAAATACTGAAATATTCATTTTATAATAACTGATATGAATATTTTATTTCTTGTTTACGTCTGAAAAATGGTTAAAGATGATACATTTACTAATTGGCAACCGATTAATAATCGAAGAAATTTCGCTAGCTTACGAATCGAGTGCCATGATTTGCCTATTCGATTCGAATCGAAATTTTACTCTCCTCGACCGGTCACTCGTTCACGAGAGCCGTGATTCGGTCCCAGGATTCAATAATACAAGGCTCGATAAGCTGACAGTTGTCTCTCTCGTACCGCTCCCTTACGGCCATACCTAAACCAAAGCGTGTACACAATGTTAAAATAGGATTGTGGGAAAAACATCGATGCATCGAAAATATCGATGTTTTGCTTCGATGCATCGAACATTTTCCACTCGATGTATAAATAGTCCATGTATCGATGCATCGATGTATCGATGTTTTTTGAAAACTGACATCTACGGTATATAGAACCGTCAATCCAGTTTTTCAATTGTTCAAATAAAAGAAGTGACTTTGGCCAAAAAATTTAAATGGCTGCAAGAAGTTCCGCTAGAAACAAAATTAGCTCAGTTGCAGTAATTTATTTAAAATTTTCTACAACTTTGCTAATAACATATTTTTTTTGTGAGACATTATCTGAAAAATCCATATATGTAATACTCCCAATATAAAGTCAATATAGAAGTATTACATATATGGAAAAATCCTATGCAAATCGATGCATCGATGTATGACTGATGTATTATGATGCATCGAAAAATATCGATGTACATTTCGATGCATCGAATCAAAGTAAAACATGGGAAATCTTTAGCTATTTGTACAACGATTTAGGGGTGGGGGACGGAGGGTGAGGCGGCGTGACTCCTTGCCGCCCCCTACCGAAAGAGGATGAACGCCGCTTTAGGAAAAGTCACCCCTCACCCCTGGGGGATTATAACCACCACTAAGTAGAATTGTCCTTTCTGTGAGCCGAAGAAAAGGGGCTGAACAACTTTCGCAGAAAACAACTTTCTGCGTAGGCGGCCTTCGGCCGTGCTTAGGGATTATAAACCTCACTAAGTAGAATTCTCCTTTCTGTTTTGCTAAAGAAGGGGGTGAGCACCTTTTGTAGAGATATTTCGTGTTTTTTTTTTTTAGAGCTCAGCTCGGAAACTTGCAAAAAATACCATATTTCCAACCGACATTATTAATAAATTAGTGCACAGATATAGTAAATTTTTTTTTAAGCGTGACCTGTTGTCTACAAGTGTGTGTAAAAGGTTTTTGATTCGAATCACGCGTTTGGGTACAGCAACCCAAAATCGTTGTACAAATTCATAAAGAGTACCCAAAAACATCGATGTATTTTTGTCACTGACTTTCCTAGTGTAATGTAAAAAAACATCGATGTATCGAGCAAAATCGATGGTCGTGGCTTCAAACATCGATGCCCGTCGATGTTTTTACGAATCCGATGTTAAATTAAAACATTGATGGTTTGAAAAACATCGAAGATGTTTCTTGACTAATTTTTCACCATTTCTTTTTGTGCGCGCTTTTAAAATTTCTGCCAGCGTTTAATAGCGATTAATAAGTACTTTCATGGAATCATGCCCAAGTATGTTTCTTTAATAAATTCCCATATTACATTCAAAATTAATGTTCATATATCGACTGCTGAGTGGAAGACTACCTATCTTGACAGCCAGTTCGAAAACGCCCTATCTCTAAAAACTTTTCAAGAATGCCTATTTCAGAATTTTATTGAAAAGCATCCTATCTCAGAATTTGGTTGAAAAACACCGTATCTCAAAATTCGGTCCAAAAATGTATTGAAAATGTGCTGATATAGGGCGTTTTTGAATCGGCAGCTGGGATAAGGCGTTTTTGAAACGACTTCTCAAATAGGGCGTTCTTGAAAAATTTTTTGAGATAAGGAGTTTTCTAACTGGCTGCCGAGATAGGTCGATCTTCCACCTAGCAGTCGATATGTATACGTATATAAGTAAGAAATACTTTAAATGGTTTATAAGTATGTGGGGTAAATATGTGTTAATCTACATGTACTACGCCAGCGAATCTAATTCATGGTAATATTTTTGAGTAATAAATGAACGAAGCTTGTGCTGGAGGTATTTTGATAAACTAGTAGCGGGCTCCGTGAAATTGTATTTAACTTTCCTTATAATATTTGTGAAAAGAAAAATGTAAATATATCGTCACCTGAAATGCAAAAAGACGTAACAACATCGTAACTGACATGAAAAAGGTCGTGACTAAATACTTTTATTTATTCATTAAAACATGTGGGAGTTGTAGTAATTCGATGAAATCCATCATATCAATCAAAAACTGAATTTTGAATTTTGTATTAGTTACGACTTTTTGCATTTCAGGTGATATGTGAATACATTTTTTCTTTATATCCTTTTTTTTTGTAAACCAGCCCTCTGAGACTTTATGTTAACAATTGGAAACAGTAATTTTTACCGTTAGTTCAACTTTTTGAATCAGCACACAGGTTGAATAAAAATTAGAATAAATCTGTAAAAAACATCGATGTTTTCACCGTAATTGACGAAAATAAAAATTGTACACGATGTACGTTAAATATGCTGGTGGTGTTCACATTGGACTCATTACTTTTGTTACGAATTATAAAAAAAAACGTAAATCCATGAACCGAAAATACAAGAACACGTAAGAACGCGACGTTGTATTTGTAGCTGGGCATGAATCACGTATGACGACAATCGTCTTGGCATGTATCACGTAACTTTGAAACGATAGTCGTTCAAACGATACTGACAAAACGATGTTGTCAAAACACTGATTAATGCATTTGCGTTGCTGTTACGCGTTACTGTTACCGTTACGTGAAGCAAAACTGGAATCGAGTTGGCAATATCGCAAAACGATCAAACAATTTTTGATTTTTATGAAGGAAGACGATCTCGACACGATATCGTTCAGACGATTGTCGTCATACGTGATTCATGCCCTGGACGATATCGTGCTGAGATCGTTTCGTTTCATGAAAACCAAAACTTTTTCGATCGTTTGTGTGAAATCGTCCACTAAATTCCAATTTTGCTTCACGTAACAGTAGCACGTAACAGCAACACAAATACATGTATCAGTGTTTTGACGACATCGTTTTGTCAGTATCGTTTGAACGACAATCGCTTCAAAGTTACGTGATTCATGCCCTGGTTTTGAGAAAAAAGTTTGCGAAAGCGGGTTCGTCCACGATGAAGAGTACCGCTACTTTGGTTTTGGCGAATTTGACAGATTCAGCTGGTCGTGGGACGTCCGCATAGAATTGTCCGCGATAAGTTTGTCCTCGTACGAATAGTTACTAATAATTATTACTAGTTTTTGCTAATGAACATTTTTAACTATAAAAAAATGCAGAAACAATTTGCCAAGAACTACTACTTTCTACTAGCTTAGTGTTTCATTATTTTTCGGTATTTCGCTATTTCTGGGCGTAATATTAAATTTTTCGTCGATCTTCAATTATCTCCTCTATTCGTTGCGATCGGGACGTCATCACCCGCCGGAATGCGCAATCTTGTATTCTATCACCGGATTTACATGATTTAAGTAATTGAAAACAATTCTTGCTCATTCTCGTTTGTGTTTTCTATTTGCTTTTAAACGTTTCAATTCGGTTGAATTCAAGTTTTTGGTTCTTTAAATGGAAGCAACGAAAATCCCAAAAACAAAGCAAGAAAGTTGAAATGACTTGACGGTGCAGACGCCTGTGTACTCGTTCGTTTTCTTCTCACCTTCTCTATTCCACATGCGAGCAGAATTGAATTTTCAATACTTGAACTGAGTAAAAGCAGTCTATCATTCTTGGGCCCGTAGTAAACAAAAGTTGAAAAGTCATCGAGTTGGGGTCGATTCAAGTCAAGTGGTACAATAATTACAGGTATTGTTTTCCCAGAGAGCGCTATTCCGATCTGCCTTATTTGAAAAACATCATTGTTGCCGACACTAAAAGGTTTACAGCTAGGGAAAAGGGATATTTCCATGCCCCATATACCATATATGTACACGTATTTTTTTAAACAAAGCTTCTTGCAGAGGACTTATTTAATTTGCAAAAGCCGAAAGAAAACATTTGCTTACTAAATAAATTCAAAATTTGTATGGTCCACTTCATTTCAAACGTTTTATATTTTTTTTTGAAAAATTAAAGAAATCAAATTGAGCGAAAGCAAAAAGCAAAGCCAAATAAAAGTAAAGGAATCAACATTGAACTGCGTCAAAATGATACGATATTTTGGAAAAAGTACATTTTATTAAATAATGTCAAGTTTGATCATCCGTTTATGTAATTTTTACTTTCATTGCATGTTTATGTAAAAGAATAAGGCATAAGTTTCTTGTTAATTGAGTGAAATAGCCAGAACTACAGCAATGATGTGAAGTCGATGTTTATCGAAAGCATGCTGTGAAACATACAAACACATATTTAAATGTTATGCACCAATTTTCTCTAAAAGAAAAGCTTGAAATTGACTTGTTATTTGAGCATTTACATATGTAAATCATTCCAAATTATAAAATTGTGATGTAGCCTTATTCGAATTGTAATACTTCCTCCTAGTTACGACTTAATTGCAGTTGCAGCCGAAACTAACAGCCCTATTCCGCCACACTGACAAAACTCACCGCGATGACAATTGATATAAAAATGACAATTGCAGCTTTTTGGTATTCGCAGCAAAATTCAAAAGCTCGAATCATGCCAATTGTCATTTTTATTGTCATGACTTTTTGGGCATGTGACAAGGCAAAAACATATGTTTGTGTTGATATAAAAAGTGCGACGATTTAATAAATTTCCGTCCGTGGTCCCCCACCTGTTTCAATTACGTCCTCATGCACTTTTCGTGCTCTGCAGCGTAGCTGATTTTTCCACGCCGCTAATGTCTGCGAAATAATGTGTGTATGCAAATGTATGCATGCATAAATGAAAGATATAAATACATACATATGTATGTATATAAATATACAAAACATACATCTTTCCACTTTGCTACGGAGCGGGTGGGACCATGCATGGCGTTTAGGCTGTCAGCCATCTGCGGCCAGAGCGACTGCATCAGTTTTGGGGAGCACGGATTATTTTTTCCTTTTTGCAGCCCCGGATGCTCCCTACAAAACTGCACATAAAATTGCAGCTGCTCCTGTGTCGTCCGCTCATATTTTGGACGTCTAAAATGTTTATAAATGTTATAAATATACGAATTTATTTATTTCACACAAATACTCACTTTTCTGATGAGTCACCGCTCATATTTTTTGTAAATAATAGCGTTGACCAGCTGTTACTACAACAATGAACTTTTCACCATGCATGGTAAGTTGACAAAAGCTTCCCGCTTGTCATTTTTTGTTAGGAATGCCAACGTGCAACGACAATGACAAAATCACGACAATGAAGGATGATCAATTGTCATTCTATTGCAAAACCGGAATAGGGCTGTTAATTTTAAGTTGATACTAAGCCAGAATAGTCGAAACTAAGGCGACTATGAATAGCTTTAGTTGTAACTTAGGATAGTTTCGACTTAGTTGTGATCTAAATATGACTATGAAATGTGCCAATACCTGTAATTATTATACCATGATTCAAGTCCATCTGATAAGTGAAGTCGATTCCAAAAGACAAGTTTTTCATCGAAAAGTCGATATTTGACTACAGTGATAGTCGACTTTTCAAATCCTACACTGCAATAGAAAGAATTAAAAAAAAAAANCAAAATTCTTGCGTTCTTTTTGTAATTGTTTTAAAAATACGTGTCTAGTTGGGTTTAATCGAATTTAATATTGTGACGCTAAAATAAATTTGCAATTTACTGTGCTAGTGCGCAGGTGAATATTTTTGTTATACACAATTATCTGTCCNGAAAACTCTGCGTTCTTTTTGTAATTGTTTTAAAAATACGTGTCTAGTTGGGTTTAAAATAAATTTGCAATTTACTGTGCTAGTGCGCAGGTGAATATTTTTGTTATACACAATTATCTGTCCGTAGAAAATGGATGGGGAAACAGGAATGGATGACTTTGGTAAATAAAACAAGTATAAAGATGAGTTTTATTGATAACACTACGCAATCATTTACAGATCCAGAGGAAAATCTGATATTCAATATAGACGCGTTCATGCAGAAGCCTTTAGTCGCCCACCAGGTACAATGCAATAATGCGTGTGTTTCCACTGCTAACCTGAAGTCTTTACAGATGTTTGTAATTGAGATTCCAAGCTTAATTGCTGTAGACACAAGATTCATAACACCACAGATGGCAATGCAAAAGGAAATTTTAATGTCAAACTCTCTAATTCTTTCTCCGGGAATCTTAGACTCTGAAGTCGATACGAAAATGAGCCCAGAGAAAGGCTTAAGTGAAACGAGGTGCGTAGGCATAATGGTAGAACCGGCCACGGATCACGTTTCGGTTCAAACTGATACTCCCAACCCACTGCGCGACCGTGGTCAACAGACAGCAACGATGCTTAATCAAATTGACGTAGGCATCCAATGTAGTTCGGAAAATGATGGAAATATTGATGCAGTGCAATCAGATATTATTCCATTGGAAGAATGCAATGAAAACGAGTATCATGTATTTTTAGAGTTTGTGCAAAAAAATACCAATTCATATAGTAATAGCAAAAAAGAATGTCTGGTATGTGGTGAAATTTTGACCAATTCAAAGCAAATACTCTCGCATATGGTGACACATTGGGGTCCACCAGCGCTCTGTGAAATATGTGGAAAACAATTGGAGCATACGAGCCTATTATTACTGCATAAATGCAAAATTAAGTCAAAACAAAAATTTAACAAACGAATTGTACATCAACAATGTCCGATATATTCATGTGGATTAATGACAGCGTCCAAACGGCAGTTAAACGACCATATAAGTGATCATGTCGACTTAACTTCAAACCGCGGTTTGCCCTGCAAACGAAGTTTTCATAGGAGGTATGAGATGCGAAGGCATTTCTCAGAACAAAAAGAATGCTCACTTAAAACAAGACATTTTGAAAAATGCGGAAAAAAGCATGTGCTAGTAAGCCAAAATGTAGCAGCGGGTCAAAGACGCTTGTGTTGGTATTTCAGAGATTTGCTACGTTGTCAAATTTGTTTGACAAAGTGTTTAAGTCCATCTTTATTTGCTGAACATAGAAAAAAATGCGTAAAATGTTTCAGGAGCAGACTGAAAAATATAAGATCTAAAGATCCATTGGCCACCAATGGCTTTAAGGGAAATTAATACAAAAAGAGATTTTAGTATGCAAAATAATAAAACGACCCAAAGGATAATTTTAAAACTCATATTAAATATATTTAGCTAGATTTTATAAACATTACTTATTTAATAAACATTTTCTTTATTTAAGACCTTTACGATACGCCATGTGCTTTGTTTAGGCCCTCAAACAGTTGCCTTTTTTCGGAACTTATTTCCTTTATGGTTTGTATTGCCAATTCAAGTTGAACCCTTTTTAGCGCGTGCTTGCTTATATAATCTTCTATAAATTGTAAACATAAATCGTCGATTTCAAAATCCGTTCGCGTTTTTCCGATAGTCGATTCCAAGTCCTCTTTTACATCTTTCGAGGTACGTTTCAGCTCCTTGTTTAGTTCCTTTAAAGCCAAATCCTCCTCAGGTTTAATTTCCTCTAATTGTTTAAAGAGCTTTTTGTAATTAGACTCAATACCATGTAATTTATAGAAGAGCGCAATAAGTTCGGCCCCGTTCTGGAGATAGTCTCGCCTTATCATGTCGTAAAGCAAGTCATCAATGCATCGATGCCAAGCAAAAAAGAATGCCATCGGGCCGAAATGTCTCGTAGAACGTAACACATCAAATTGTTTAGATTCATTGATGTGCTGATATACCTTGCTGCTGATGTGATGGAACTCTGGCTCATAAGGTTCGAATTGAACCACCATACGGTTTAAAATAAACACATATTTTTGCTCATCTAAACAGCGTTGTAAATGGTCATCCTGGAACATTTGCGGAACTCGTATACTGCGACCATTAAGTGGAAAATATAATTGCCGCATACGCTTTGTTACTTCCATTGGTGCATACTCCAGGGTACCATTGGTTTGCCGCACCACAACCTTGCGCTCTGATTGACGCAATCCATATGTTATGTCTGTTATAACGTACTTTGTGTTTGAGAAACCGCTTAAAGCACTGTCATTGGATATAATTTTGTGTTCATCTTTTCTTATCTGAACAACGGGAGGCATTTGTAAGCGCTCCTTCGCACGTGCAATAGTCTTGCGAAACTCTTCTTCCAGCATCGCGACAGTCATGAGCTTGTAATCCACGGAGTTGTCCGGCACAGTCGTCTTCTGGAATATTTTATCCAGCTGAAGCTGCGTCATGGACCTGAGTAAATTTTGCGTTTCTGGATCAGTGAACTGAGGCTGCGGATCACGTTCGTAGAGCAGGGTAGCTGAAGATGCACCTGTATTGCCAGTTGATAAAGGTACTCGATGCCGCACACGGAAACTTCCCAGCAGATTCCCATGGTTGATTATTTGGCGTAGGAACATTATGGTAGACATTTTATTCGAAAAACTGAATTAAATCGTAACAACTCCACCGCACTGCGATAACTGGACAGCTGATCAGTAAAACTGGCAGACTATCGATGGTACTATCGAACAATCGAATTTTTTACTTTTTGCGTTACTATCCTCTATCGATAGTATAGCGCTTTTTTTTTTAATGTCATGCCAGAAAAAACCCGATGATTACGATTGATTAATAGCTGAAATACAATGCCGGCGAACGGCGAACTCACCACAGCGAAATTCACGCTGTCAAAATTAGAACACCCGCAAGCATATGAAATTGAACACAGCCAAAGAGAAATGCGAAGTTCGCTTGGCGGCGTTTCATGGCGATAGATTTATTTCTATCGCTCTGCTGGGCGATGACAGCTGTGCGTGCCAAAGGTGGCCGTATTTGTTTTGTGCTTTCAAAGTTTAAAAAGAAAACAACCTAAACACGATTTTTTTTTTGTTGTTTAAAAAAATATAGTTTTGGATTCGTTAAATCTGGCTTGAAACAAATTATTTATAATAATCTTTCTTTGTTTTACATTTATATTTGTTATCATTTCCTCATTTCTAAATATGGTTTAGTTTTTTCTAAATATGGTCACCCAAATTATAAAGGCGACCAAATGGGATCAGCTGTTTTCGCTATCGCTCTAATTCTGTTTAAGTAGGCGAAATAGCTGGGCGAACGGTGAACGACAGCATCGCCCAATTCGGCGAAGTTTGCCGTTCGCCGGTATTGTATTTCAGCTATAAATTATATACGATTACGATTTATTTAATTGTATTCATAAACGTTACCATTACGAGAATAATACTTGTACACCCTTATTCTACAACACTTTCGTATTCGGATTTTGCTACGAACACGAATCGTAGAAATGGTATGCTGCAATCCAAGTGGTATCTTCGAAATCTCGAAATTCGTACAACTGACCGATATTAGTCAAGAACGTAAACCTACCGGTACGTAAACCCAAGCCAGCTGATACGATCTGTCTTATCAAAGCGCCATGTTAATGAAAACTCAGGACCGCAGAATTTTTCTGTAGTTGTAGCCCGTAGCGCAGAAATCAGCTGAATTTAGATTTTTCAGTGTCAGCTGATTTCTTCCTTCTTTAGATAGTCAGTTTTGCAGATGGTAAAAAAGTTATAAGTTCCTACGTGCCCTAGTGCATTTTTTGATTGGATGAAAAGGGAAGGAACGCCCCTGTTGCGCACTTTCGCCACAATTATAACGAGTTGTCCCTTCTTGTTATCTACGTTCTTTGGTTCCTATTCAAAGTATGTTTAAAATATTTAAGTAGTTTATCACCCCTATTCTGCAACTCTTTTGTATTCGGATTTTGCTACGAATCGTAGAAATAGTATGCTGCAATCCGAATCGTATCTTCGAACTTTCGAAATTCGTAACAATCGCATGCCTAAAAACGAGCAAGTAAGTTTTTTTGCGTAATTTGGTACGAAAACAATTCTGTGTCGGAGGCGAGATAAAAGATGTAAAGCGATGTGGGTTCGCACGAAATATTAGTGGTGTTTATTCGTTGTACATTACCTTTTCAACGGGGTTTGCGATTATATTCATCTAAACTTATGATAAAAAGACGAGGTCGTAATGATTTAAAAAAAAATTTGGAAACATATATTTTAAAGCTGTCACATATATAGGACATTGGGCACATGACATATTATCAACTTTGTCTGACTTATTTGATGGGATCTGTGACAATACATTTGACATGTAATCCAATGTTAAATTTTTGGCATCTTACTGTGGTTTTCTGATGACAAGCGCCACATCTGGGCCCAATTCTTTGTTGGAACTATGCGTAAACCTTCCTTTTTTATTTTGGGCGAGTTCAGCTGTCGTAATACTTCTCCTGAAAGGTAAGGGACCCATTGCTCCGCCATTGTGTTTATGAGTCTGCCAGACATTTCGTACCGCCATTTCCACACAGTTAGTTATTAGGGGAAAACACTATTTCTTACTCCCCATAGCACTGTGGTAGACGCTAATATTTTGGTCTGAACGATAGATACCTCCCATGATTTTATTACATTATTTTACGATACGAGTTTGCTCTTGTTAGGAGTATCGCTTGTTGAAACTTATGGGATTTACTCCGATTGCATCCGATTCCTGGACAATGGTATGTCACTACCGGGATCCCATTGATCATCAAAACCGGTTTCCGAAAAGACTTCAACGCTCCTTTTCATCTGCGAAACCGGATAATTATTTATACCGACAGAATTCTCGTCAACAGAAACCTCGTCGGTAATGTCTGCAGGTGCATTTATTTCTAGAAATATTGCTATGCTATCGAAATCTACATTATCATTCTCTAAAGGAGCCAAATATTCATGCAGAGAAAATTCTCTGTAAGAAATTTATAGTATATTATATGCCCAATGTCCCACATGTACGACACCACCTTTTTTGCTAATACAAAAGTAATATAACAACATAAAAACAAATTCACAAATCATAAAACAATCGAAGAATATGTCGTATACGAAAAAAAACGTTAATTTTTATATTTGAATAAGCAAATTTTTACTTACCGTGCAACGTTAGCACCATATACCGAAGCTTTGGAAAACTTGCCACTTTGTAAATCAATTACATAGAAATTTTGGTAAAAAAGTACCAAAACATACTGTCACAGGTAGGGATGACCAAGCACTTACTAAATGAGTAAAATAAGTGGCTCATGGAAAAACGTTACGCGTCATGTAAACTCTTGTGTAGGTGTCCTATTTATAGGACATTGGGCATATCTGGGTTTGCTTTTCGCATAAACGTATACTTTTATCCACTGCTTTATATAAACTAGTAAAAAATAATCTTTGTTGCCCCTTATCGAGAAACTTGGGTCCGGTTAAGTTATTTGTACAATGATTTTCGGTTGTTGTGTCCAAACGCATAACCGGAATCAAAAAACTTTAACATCACGTTCATCAATGTTTCGAATTTCCGACCACTAGTTTATTAATAAATTCGGTTTGCACTATAAATTTTTTTCAAATTTCGACGTGGGTTCTGCGCAAAAATACTGTGGATGGCGTAGCCGGAGTGATATGCACAAGAAGTGGTGCATACCCCCTCTTCTCCGGCAACACAGAAAGGAGAATTCTACTTAGTAAGGGTTATAATATATATATATAATTACGAAAATGCGGAATTTAGAATAAGGGTGTTTAGTTCCTTACCACTTTGCTTCCCCTCATTCAGCTGTCTTCGAAAATCAACTGATAGCCGGCAATGCTGCACATGTTTCCGCAAGGGTTGCAACATGTAGATTTTTCTCCTTATCGAACAATTTGTGTCCGGTTTAGTTATTTGTACAATGTTTTTCGGTTGTTGAATTCTACTTAGTAAGGGTTATAATCCGTAAGCGCGGCCGAAGGCAGAAGCAAGCGCAACAGGTTATGGACCTTACAAAGTGAATGTTTTCAATGGCTTGGGATTGAGAACTATTTCTTCAGGCATAGGAGTTACGGCGTGTGGTTCAACAATTCAACCTGAAGCTGACATAGATGCGTCAATGGTTACTATGCCCGACAACTCTACATATGTTTGTGAATTCTTTTCCATAGCGCACTATTACTCCGCTGCAATAATTGCAAAATCAATAGAATCCATCGTTTCCTTCAAAATACGTCAAATCAAAAAATTTACTATAAATAAGCACTTTATGAGTATTTTTTAATTCCTTTCCACTTTGTTTTCCTTCATACAGCTGTTTTCGAAAAACAAGTGATAGCTGGCAATGCTGCACAGGTTTCCGCAAAGGTTGCAGCATGTCGATTTTCGTTTTGCGTAATAGCTACGAATTACGAATTGTGAAAATTCGGTTTCTAGAATAAGGGTAATATATACTTCTTTCACTTATGCTTGAATCATGGTTTATTATGCCATAGTTTTGACCCTAAAGCTCAAAATACAATAACGCAATAGCAGTGGCAACGGCAGTCAGCTGTTTTTTTTTTAGAAAGTGTGCTGTCCATTGAAGCGAAACACAATACTGCAGCGGCAGCTAGCAATACTGCTCAGTTTAGTCCAAATTTAAAATTCATTGCCACTGTCTTCATCGCAGCAAACTTCGCGTGCTGATTTTGGCATTTATGAAGCGCTGCCAACTTGTTTTCTTCACGGAAGCCTAAAACACAACAACAAAAATGTAAACAAATGAAATGGAATGCCAAATAAAGTATTCACTGAGACCGACGTATTGCGTTTGTTGCGGCAGTGACTGCCAATAGGTTTGTTCCACACGAGCCCGCAGGATCATGCGGGTACCAAAAGTACAAACAGCACAGAAAGCGTTCCTCACGCTCGAAAAATTGGTTATACAGTTTGTCTGCATAACCAGACCTTAACGGCTGACAGCTGACAACAATTGCATACAAAAAAGTGGCCGTGTAAATGGAACGAACAACACCAAAAGGTAATCAGGCCAATTCTTAATACTCCCGGGGAGTTTGTTCTCCGGGAATTAGTTTCTCCCAAGAAATAAATCCCCCAATGATTAACTCCCAGGAGTAGCATTTTATCCGAAAACTTGGGAGGAGGAGAATCGAACTCCGAAAAGGCTGTTTGACCCTTTTTTGAGAGCTCAAGTCCGCCATTTAATATAAAAAATCCTTAGGAAATTTTTATGCATGAAAGGAGGAAAGGGAAAAGAGAGAAAACTCCCGGGGACTTTCTGTTCAGAATCGGCCTGAATATGAAAAATCGCGTCGCCAAAAGTTTCCATGTATAAACGCAGACTCATGATTACGAAAATATTATCGATAACCAACAATTTCTAGTAATGCAAATAACATCGATACATTGATGTTTCGATGCATCGGAAAAATCAACATCGATACTGGATTCCGATGTTTCAAAATTTGTTAGGTTGTAGTCCCATTAAAAGGTAGATTTAATACTTTTAAATTCCACCTCTCTGTAATTCAATTAGAAAAATACTTACATTCATATGGATGTATTTCCCAGTATTTATTTATCATCATCCTATGAGTAGAATAAAAATGCATTCCTTGTAAGTTCGCTAAGCCTAAAGCTCAGAAGCCCAATTTCGTTGAAATTTCAAAGTGAACCCGGTCCTTTTTTAACATCGAAAGATAAGAGAAAACTCGGAATTTCTGAATGTTTCCCAAAAGAATAAGTATTAAAATTTATGGTCAGTGGAAAAATTTTAAGAGCAGAATGTTTAAATTGAATTCCAGTCTCAGTCACAGTAAAATCGATGTTAAAACATCGCTGAAACTAGGATCGATATATTGTCAATTTTGCGATTTTAGGATTTTAGTAAACATCGAATTTAGAACCGATATTATTTATGATTCAAAATTATCGATAGATTGTTTGTTATTCCCAACAATTTCTCTTATCGCTATTTACACATTAACACATCGCAAAGTGTTTTTAAATGGTGAACTAATTTACTTGAACGTTTTAATTTACCGAAAAGAATGGACTTGGGCTCAGAGAAAAATCTACTTCAGGTGCAAAATAATCCCAATGAATCAAGATTGTGCCGAAAGCGTCGTCACTCGGATTGTGGTGAACAGCATAGTACCAGCTGTGAGGCTGCATATGAAAATGGGGCTGTGGGGGACTACACTCCTGCCGCAAAGTGTCGTGGCGTTGATTCCACACACCAAGTCTGCCTCACAGACTTTCCTGATGAACTCCTTTATGAAATTTTTAAGAGCCTCGACTCGTGGACATATTACGCCCTTATGAAGTAAGTGTTTTCATAAGAATGTACGCCATTTTTTAATATCTTTCTCTTGGCAGCTGTTGTAATCGCTTTTGTACATTATTAATGGATCGCAGATTTTGGCAACACATCGATCTCAGTCAGAAATTATTGCCGCTCGGCATACTAGAAGATGTCATGGAACGTACACACAAAGGAACTACTTGCGTAAAGTTACGTGGCCCATCGCGGCAGTACACAAGTACAGAAATACAGAAATTTAACAAAACATTGGCGGACACCTTTGCTCAGCGGTGTACACAATTAAACATATTGGAATTACGGGGTGTTACAGTAGATCTAAGAAATGTAAGGAAATGAGAAATGAAATCATATTTACATACAAGTAACCTTTAATTTTGTCTTAAAGGTTCGCATTGTTCATTTTCCTAAAACTTTAAAGCGGCTTGTTTTTAGAGATTGTAACTTCTGCAAGCCACAGGATGAGCAAACCATATTCAGTGGCATTCACACTCATTTAGTGCATTTAGAGGTATGTAAATTATAGAGCTATCCAGCATCATATTTACATTCTTCGCATCTTTAAGGAGCTTGGTATTGAGTACAGCAGTTGGTTTGAGCCTTATTACATCATGATGATATCCAAAATACCCTCACTACGCTGGCTTAGCTTAAAAGGTTGTTCACGATTGGGCGACTTTATTCCATATGGAAGCATGGCGGCACGTTTTGGATTCAAAAAATTAGAGGTACAAAACGACTTGATGAACATTCTGCTACCTGTGTGAATTTTCGCTTATATTTCTAGTACTTGGATTTGCGATTCACCCCAATAACAGATTCTGATTTGCAATGCTTCAATGTCGTGCTGACTTTAAAGGAGCTACTTCTGGATTGCCCTCTAAGTATGCGTGACAATGAAACAAAAAATAGCACACCAACAAAAGAGGAAAGTAAGGACGCCAGCGACAGCGATTGCCAACCGTCCACGTCGAAGGCATCCACCTCACCAGAAGACTACGATTCTTCTCTATATTCTAGTGCTATGGTTAACTCGTCATCAAATACCTCGATACAAGAGGGACGCGAAGAAACAGAAAAGCCATCGTGCTCGAGCCCACAACTGTCATCGTCCTCTTCTTCTACTTCGTCGTCGTCGCCTTCGTCAGCTTTGAATTCTCCATTTGCATCACCTTCGCGTTTGCTACAAGATCATGCAGCGGACAATAGTTTACCTGAGCCTGGTGGAAATTTTCCATCACGTAGTCGATTTTTACCACGACCAGAACATGTTATTTTGTTAGACTTTGTGAATCGTCGGCCCACCATAAGGCATATTCGTCCGCCACCAAACGTAGACAATCATTTTGATTTAATGTTGCAACATCCACATTTCTGGAATATAATAAACCCTTTGGGACGCGGAAATGAATCTAATTGGTCCAGCTCATCGTCAGGACCAGTGCCACATTTCAGTCATCATCCTTGTTGTCGTCAATACCCCATTTCAGATCGTGGTATTTGCTGTTTTGGAAGGCCACAAAATCCGGTTGAACCTGGTGTAATCTGGATACGCATTGGCAACCGCCCGAGCGAAAATAGCTTTGTAAGACTTAGTGTGCGAAATTATAAAAAGGTCACAGACATTTCCCTGCATCATCTTGTGCAGTGCTCGCCTGATCTGATCTATCTGGATTTGAGTGGTACGAGCGTAACACGCGAAGGCGTGCAACGTTTTAAAGCTAGTAAGCCGGAATGCCAAATCATAGCTGATCATCTTATTGGGTCAAGCAATGATGATTGCCCAAATCAAGAACCGATCATTGATTAACTCTTGTGTACGTTCACACACTTGGGCGTTGTAATAGTTGCAACTCAATCGACTTGCATACGTACAGCCACACATAAGTCCATGGCAGAAGTTCACGAACATACGTTGCACTATTATGCTTAACTCCTAGTATTAATTATATATCCATAATCTTAACTGACGGCTGAACACAAAGAATGTCATTAAGCTCTTACGATTTTTGTTAACATAAATTTTATTCAAAAATAGCGCAAATGTGTACGCGTATATAGTATACAGCAATGTGGTAGTTTTTACAGTGTTTAAAAGCATAGTTATATATCAATAAATATAAAAAATATTAAGTTCACTCGTCATTGACATCATTGGTGGAGGAGACATCATCATCGTCGTCATCATCATCTGTCTCCTCGGACTCCGAGTCCGAGCTTTGGCAATCGGCAATTTCACCTGTGAAAAACATAACAGCCTTTGGGATGACACGTTCCTTGAGGTAGAAACCGAGCTCAAAATCATTTTGTAAAATTGCCTGCAAATGCAATATCCTTAGTTGAGAATTGTAAACTATAAACAATACTTACATTTATATCGCAATAATTAGGATCTTCTGTGTCATCTGGTAGTTTCGGAGGATTGAAGAAGTCAAAAAACGAAGTGTAAGCTGTAAATGAGATTCGAGTGGGCATAAAGAACTTTGCATAGAAGGAAGGAGATATAGATTTACATTTGGGGTTCTCATAGTTCTCTGGTAAACATTGCAAAAACCGAAAAATATCCAATGTGAAGCGTTATCGTTTTTTTGTTTGGCAGAATATTGTATGATAATGAATTTAAAATATTCATTGCATTGGATACGTTTTTAATACATTTGTAACACGCCTGATAACAGAGAACTGTGAGTGTAACAACCGATGACCAACCTTTTTTATCCTGTTCGTTATAATTTTGCTTCCAGTCAATTTTACAGCCCTCACATTTATAAATTTCAGCACCATCATATGAAAGCGGGTCGTCCACATTGGGTAAACAATTTAAAAAGTATGTTTTGGTCAGAATACGATTTGAAAAAAACTCATTTGGTTCGAAATGAAATTCAATGATAAACTTAACCGTTGGTTCGTTACACAGTTTTGAACGTATGTCGGTGAGATACTAAGTTTATGAACGAAAGAATGAAGTAATCATACACAAGATACTAGTTTACAACAATCAACACACAGATATTCGACATACCGTTAGTATTTTTTCATCTTTTTTGCTTATGAATTCCGTGTATGATGCTTTTAACACACGCAGCCAAAAATTTGATATATTACTCTCACTAGATGAGTCGCCATGGGACTTTTTTCGAAAGTCTCTGCAAGTGATATGGATAAGAAATAAGCGAATGATATGCTAGTTTATGGTTTTTTATGTGGAACTTACTCGAGAATGTTGTAGCGCTTTTCGAAAATTGCTTTGTGCTTTGCCTCAAAGGATTTTTCCATATTATAAATTTCCTGCTGCAAATCCACGTCGAGCTTTATAGTTTCCAAGTAAAGTTTTTTAAGTTCACTAATTGTTTTATTCTCTTCTTCGGTTAATTTTTTATCCTAATGTTCGAAAGAAGTTTAATTTAATATAGAATGTGCAAAGTTTCTTCCAAAAATAAAAACTCCCGCTGCTAATATTGTTTTCCAAATCGCATCAATACAAAGCATCAATATCATTTATTTCAAGTCACAGAAGATGAATTTATCAAATTTGCGAAACTTAATTTAAAATTAGCATTTCATCACGGTAACGCATTTTGGAATTTTTTATTCTAGTTTACGATTTAGAAACAAAAAAATAGACTAATATTTTGTACCGATGCTCTTTTGGAAAACCCCCTATATTCAGATGTTAAAACAACAATAACAACAACAGCTATAATTGTNCATTTAATTCAAGTCACTATCATTTATTTCAAGTCACAGAAGATGAATTTATCAAATTTGCGTAACATAATTTGAAATTAGCGTTTCATCATGGTTACGCATTTTGGAATTTGTTATTCTAGTTTACGATTTAGAAACAAAAAAAACAAAAATTTTGTACTGATGCTCTTTTGGAAAGGCCCCTATATTCAGATGTTAAAACAACAATAACAACAACAGCTATAATTGTTTTTTCCCATTTCTTTCCCCTTGTTTCCTTGAATGTGAAATATACATACATATGGATGTATGTAGTCTGTTGGCCTAAATTGGTATCTACTCACCACCGACGATTTCTTAGCGCTTGCAGTTGAGCTCTGCTTTGCCACCGGAATTTTTGGTGCGCCGCGCATCTTCATCGACTCCATATTTCTATTGTTATGGTTGCTCCCCGAATTGAAGTATTCAGAATTATTGAAATGTTTTTGAGAAAGGAAAAAAGAAGATTTCTGAAAAACATTTGACACTAATCGGCACGGCAAAAGTATTTTCAACGATTGGCGCAATTCGCTTTCGTTTATTCGAGAGCAAGTGGGATATTAGTCGGCAGCAACATTGCGAGCAAATTAACATTCCCACAACTGCCGGTTGAACATACCGGAATAAATTCAACATACCGGAATGAATCGGGTTGTATCAGGCCAAGGGCTGTTGTTTCGGCGATCTAACCTTGATTAGGCAGGCCCTGCTCCGCATTCTTTTGCTCAGGATCCGCAACGAGCCAAACTCCACCTCTGTCAGGTGAAATACCTGCAACAGGTGGAGTCACCTTAGAACCTCCTCAGGTCTTAGCTCACCGACAGCGAGCTGCTCTAACGAACTGCCTCCATGGCACTCCAGANCTATCAGGCCAAGGGCTGTTGTTTCGGCGATCTAACCTTGATTAGGCAGGCCCTGCTCCGCATTCTTTTGCTCAGGATGCGCAACGAGCCAAACTCCACCTCTGTCAGGTGCAATACCTGCAACAGGTGGAGTCACCTTAGAACCTCCTCAGGTCTTAGCTCACCGACAGCGAGCTGCTCTAACGAACTGCCTCCATGGCACTCCAGAGTTCACCTGGGCCACATAACCGCAACACGACCACCCTCCGACATAACACAGACATAGCATAGACACAACTATACGCCTAAGCTCATATCTCTTGGTTCCTCATACTGTCTGCTCGGTGTTCGGGATATACCGTAATGTGACATTATTCAAGTGCAATTTCTGCCTTGGCTGGTGCCACTTTAGGGCATGNCACACGCCTAAGCCCATATCTCTTGGTTCCTCATACTGTCTGCTCGGTGTTCGGGTAATGTAACATTATTCAAGTGCAATTTCTGCCTTGGCTGGTGCCACTTTAGGGCATGTCCAGGGCTGAGCACCATGCAACAATGGACGAACAACTACATAGCCACCTGTTGCAGTGCTGCGCAATTGGAAATCCCGCCGCCCACTGCCATCACAAGGCAGCAGCCCCAAGAATCATCTAAAGATTTCACCTCTGGTGTGAGTAATTTTTCGTTAACCGAGAGGTCACTATCCAACCCGACGAAGCGCGGCGACAGAGTAGGAAAATCATTCCGGCAGTTTACTCGGCATCATCCGGTTGACAAAGCTAAACCTCGAGTGCCCAAAAGGCTGCACTAGCTGCCAACGTCCTGCGTGCCTCTTGGTTGCCAATGCTTGCAACAGGGAAACCGGCCACCAGGGAAACCGGCCAACAAAGGAGAGTAGTTTCGTCTATTACNTAGTAGGAAAATCATTCCGGCAGTTTACTCTGCATCATCCGGTTGACAAAGCTAAACCTCGAGTGCCCAAAAGGCTGCACTAGCTGCCAACGTCCTGCGTGCCTCTTGGTTGCCAATGCTTGCAACAGGGAAACCGGCCACCAGGGAAACCGGCCAACAAAGGAGAGTAGTTTCGTCTATTACGCACCACGATGGGTTCCGTAAAGTGCACAGTACAACAACAGCACTTAAAGCCATAAAAACTCAGATAACTGGTGCGGCCCGAACCGAAACCGCACCTGTGAGGTAACAGTCCAGGTAGCGTTGGATCTGATAAAGGCGTTTGACACCGTCAGACGCTCCACCCTTCTAGAAAACATTGAGGCTTCCTCTTTCCCACAGAGACTCAAAGGATGGTCAGCGAATTATCTGAGTTGTCGACATTCGTCAGTAATTTTTAGACATATGTAAACCCAGCAAAGCAAGAAAAATGAACAAGGCGGTGTCATCCCGCTTCTGTTTAATTATTATGTCTCACTGCTCCCTCAACCACCAAATGGAGTTTTATTATCTCTTATCTGCCCGATAATGGCGTCCAGGAGTGGAATTGATGACTTGTGCTCAAAAGTAAACGGTCACCTCTCCGAAATTTCTCGCATCCTTATTGCAAGGAGTCTAACCCTCTCCTACGAAATCCTCGGTAACTCTTTTTACCCACTGCACGAATGAGGTCAAACTATAGATGAGAATTCACGGCGATGGCGCACCAATTCCACGGTGAATAACCAAAAAATACTTGGAATTACCTTCGATAGACTGCTCTCCTTCTCGGCACATACAATTAGCTGGCGAGTTCTAAACTATGCAGCGTCCATGTGGTCGCCGGGGGCTAGCAGGATGCAGTGGACGAAGCTAAAGACATGCCAAGACTCGGCACTCTGGATGCCGTTGCCATAGCTCCACCTACATGAGGAGGCTTAAATGCTCTCTGTCAACGGGCACAACACAATGCTTTATAAGCAGTTCATAGTAGGATGCCATAGAACTGACACCTTCTTCCCGGAGAGCCCTTACCTAGGCACGTCAGAAGGCAGTTCAGACAGGGCAAGTTCAGACGTTCAGCGCACCGACAGGCCATAAACGGCATTCACAGGGAGCCGGTATCACCTTACACCGACTCTCGACCTGTAAATGGAGTTCTGGAAACACAGCAACCAGAGGTTGATGAGACAAAATTTCGTCTGCCTCGAGAGACTCGCACCACTTTAGCCAAACTTCGCTCTGGATACTACAGCAGGCCAAACTCCTACCTGAGTAGGTTAAATGCAGATATGTCCGGCATGAGGAGAGTCACCTCACGACTCGCAACACGCCTCATCATGTCCCACTGAACTAACGCCTCTCTCCCTATAGACCAACCCAGTTGGAGTGGCACACTTCCCTCGTTAGTTGAGCTTAAGGGACGAGCCGATCTAGGTAGGGCTAAGTAGCCGCTACAACAAAAATATCAACTGCAATTTAAATTCACTTGATTTTCTCTAAATATGAAGGCCATATAGGTCAAACCTCTATTTATTGCTTACTATTTCTTCAACTTGCCTTTACTCTCATTTAAAACGTCGCCCTTCTGTGCTCAGTGAACCGTCTATGAAAGCTGCGACGTGTGACGCAGAGAAATGATGTGGTTAACTTGAAGACGTAGCAAATTTGCATTATTGCTTGCGAAGTAGGATGCGGGCGGAGCGGGCCAATTGAGCATATTTTCGTGCAAATTGACAGCACGTACATATTTATATACATACATACCGTGGTCGAAATAATTATAGCCGCACCACATTTTGACAAGTTTTAACATATTATTTTTGTTGTAATTTAATTTTGGCTATTTTTTTTTGTATAAAAATATAGTTCATTCTTTAAAAAACCCGTGTGAATTCAAGTTTTAAACTTTGTGCAATATTTAAACTACAATCAACAAACTTTCGTTAAAATTTCCAACCTTTTTAATTCAATTTTTTAGAATTTTTTCAGGATGTTTCGGTTTTCTTCCATATAAAAATTCGTATTCGTTATATGGAAGCAAATGTGGGAAAAATCTAAAAAATCAGCCATAATTTTTAGCCATTTGAGACTTGTACTTTGTTGTACCAGAATTCAAAACTGCATAGGTACTCAGAATCTTTCTAGGAAATCTAATTAAGAAAGTTAGAAATTTTTACGAAAGTTTCTTTTTTAAATATTGCACAAAGTTTCAAACTTGTATTTGCACGGGTTTTATTAACTGTACTATAAATGAACTATATTTTTATAAAAAAAACAACCAAAATTAAATAATAATACATATAATTATTTCGACCACTGTACATACATACATACAAATGTACATAAATACAACAGCACATTGGCCGAAGCTTTGTTAATTTTTATTGAAATTAGATTTGTAAGACATTCCTGAAAAGAAACAATGTTTAAGTTCATAGCTAATCAGAAAATTCTAAGCACGTTGCTTATTTACAATCGATAGCGAAGAGCTAATGATGCGCTTTATTGGCCTTGCTGTTTTCTTGCCTGCCAGAATTAAGCAGATGTGTTCGACTATTAAATTTACATTTTCATAATAACTTGCTAAGCGAAGTGTGGTTCAATACATACATACATACCATACAAATATGTATCTGTAGCTTAAATTTCTTGCAGAAAGTTTCCCTGCGAACGACTGCAAAGTTGGCAGAGCAGCGCTCTCATGACAATCGGAACGATGCAGATTTTCATCTGAAAAAGGAGTGGACACTAGCAAAATCCTCAAATGTCTTTGTGGGAAGTTCTATGTTGTTATAACAACAACAGCAACTCTGCGATTTGGCAAGATCAAACTAGAACCGGTTACATTACCTTAAAAACCCTAAATTAAAGTAAAAAAACACGATCAAAGATTTTGAATCTAAAAACTTTTGAAGCACGTAAATACACGCAATGAGTATCAGCCAAAATCGTACAGTAAATTTTTTCCATATATTGAAAATATTTTGTTTTTGTTAAATTTTATTAATTGTTAAAAAAAATATACACTAGGCGACAAATGAAAGTGTACACATTGTTTTAATATAATATTCACAATTATTTTATTAAGTTCGACTTTTTAAAGAGGTCTTAAAAATATTTTCACACTAAAACCTTCTTAAACTCTCTTAAACGTCTGACGCCCGTATTGTGATGCATACATTTGTATGCATTTATTTTAATTATCCAATTTCCTTAATTCAAGTTGAATATGATTTTTTAAACCATGGAAACCCCGCTAAATATGGTAAAAAAAAAGATTTTTGAAACCCCCTTCTATCATAATTCATTTAACTTTTTAAATAATTTGAATTCAACTTTTTAAACAGGCTATTTTATATAAAATAACTATTAAACCATATAAAAAGGCTCAAATATCATAACAAGCACCATATAAACTACAACTTTATACAACAATTGTAAAAATTCAACAAATTTTGCCAATTCCCCCTACAAAATTTGAAATCTGTAGTGCCGAGAGCCGACTGCTCGAAAATATGTTGGTATCTAGAGCAACTTCAAATCACCGACTTGCCAGGTCCTAGCCTGGTAGGATTCTAGTAATTGCTTCATAAAAAGTCATAAAATCGAAAAAATATGTTCCATCGTGTGGGGCAATAAAACTTTCAAATTTCGAAAGGTTTGAGTGTACTGATTCCAATAGTAAGTACTTGCCACCTCTTATGCTGGCAGAAGTCCTTGGCAAGTCGGCTTGAAAGGAGCGGATTTTTCAGAATATCACGGTGAACTTGGATAAGGTTTAAACCATCCAATTTTTCTCAAAATTCTCATTTGGTCATCATAACCAAGAGATTTGAGCTAAAAGTGAAAATCTTGTATGGAAGGACTCGAAAATTATCTCGATTAT